TTTGTCATCCCTTCCGCTCTCGCCAGGACTAGGTATATGTCCTCTCCGTCTCTCGCGTCGCTTCCACCCTTTCAGCCGCCATCTGCCGCGTTTAGCCTACCGACCGATCCTCCATCGGCAACCGTATGCCCTTGCTTTGCTCTTCTCTTCCCATCACCACTCTTCTCTTCTCTTCTCTTCTCTTCCCTCCTCGTGGCCCCTCCATACCTAATCCCGTCTCGTCGCGCTCCTCGTTCATTGTTCGCCTCGTCCATTCTTCGCAATCCACGTTACCTTGATCTGTCGCGAGACGAGCTAATCTCTCCGCTAGTTTTTCTCGCGATACCGATGATCGATGCACGCTCGTTGTTGGTCACAGTATACTCGTTTCGCTACCATCTTTTACACTGACTGACTGACCTCGGTTAACGTACCTTCGTTCCCTCTACCGTTTCACAATCTATCGATATCTTTCGATAGAGAGGGAAGAAAACGAAGTTTGCCCAATAAGAAGTTTGCCTGTGTCGTATCGGTGATTAATTCGATCGAGGTACATATTCCAAGTGAGTAGAAATATTGGAATGGTAGAGATAACGTACCGCGAGTGTCCACGAGCGCATACATTCCGAGCAGATAGTATGGATCGCGGATGTTTGGTAATGTCACGATGTGACACATTGCACGATGCATCGCGAACGTTTATCTTCTAACATTTCAAGGTAAAAACCAAGTATCGTTCGCGCAGCTGTGAGTCGCGAAAAAGGTTTCCCCGCTACGAGCTTTCGAGAGTCTGGAGAAGAAGGGCAAGGAGGATATCGTAGAAGAAAGCAGTTGTGTATTGTGTAGTATGCAACGTAACAAGTGGCATATCTGTTGCGTTTCGCCGATTTAAGTGCCACGAAACACCAGACTACTTGGCAGCTTTCCAATTGGCACCTCGTCGGGTATTACGGAATTTATAGCGCCCTTCCACCTCTCCTCCAGTCACTTGTAGTTGGCGATTTTTTCCGAGTTTGTCGCTCGATCAAGTTCCACGAGTATCGAGTACTCGAGCGTTATTAACGATAACGGGCAAGGTATAGGCAAGGCCAAGGTACACGCGAGCCGATCGCGATTAACCGACGAGTAGCGAGTAGCGAGTAGCGACTAGCGAATCGGTTCTTGTCGATCGCGGATCTCTGCCAAATCTCTTCGCACTATTCCTACCTACGTATACCTACGATACGCGTTGCGTGCTACACACGCTTCAACTTTGCTTCTTATTCGCGCGCGCGTTCTGTATAGCAACGATCGCGCGATTCGACCACATTTTTCGAGAGATTTTTCTCCGTCGTTCGTCGTTCGTCGTTCCTCGGGGGAGATGGCAGCAAAGTTTCCGTGGTTGCGTCGATAAGATGGTACGAATTACCCGAGAATCCAAGTTGGCGCGGAAATTAACGAGCAGTCTAGTTTTTGGCCCCAGTGTCGTCGGTCGGTCGGTAATAATCCGCGGTAAGTCACGATCCGCTTTTACCGACTAAAACTTTTCACTTGGAACGTCGAGAAAATCGATGCGACGGGACGCGACGCGACGTTCCACCTACGAATTCATAACCACCCGCCACGCCTGAAGGAGCGTGTGTGCGCTTACCCGAAAGATTTCGTACTAATTAGGGGAGTCGTCAGATTCAGTAGACCGTTTTTCTTCGCTGATTTCCCCTGTCGATCGTCGACCAAACTATCTCCATGTTCGTTCTGTCCTTCGAAACCCTTGTCTCGTTGTTTCGACCTTTTCGCTCGCAGATAAAGCCAGATAGCCAAGCCGAGAACTACCAGTACCACCAGACCTCCGATCGTTCCGAAAACTGCCGTTAAAATCACGTCTCTTCGCTCCATTCCCTGGCAAGCCACCTTTAACAGAAACAAAAAGAAGAAAAGAAATCGATTCAATTGCGTTTAATCCGCGCGAATCCAGTGCCAGTTCCTTCGATCGAGCGTAAATGTCAACGGTGTAGAGGTGAGAAGAAAAAAAAAAAAAAAAAAAAAAAACAAGGTGCGCGCCGGTATATAAACGTTAAAAATACAACGTCTTTGCTTTGCTCCTACCGTTTTCACGCGTTTCCCGCTTTCTACGCAGAAAGGGTGCTGTTGCTCGTGGAGGACAAGCCAGGAATAAATAACGCGACGATCGATTTCTTTGCGGTCCTTCGGATCATCCTTCCAAACGAGAATGCATCCACCGCCCTGTGCGTCGCGACTCTCGATCGGTCTCTCTCTTTCTTTCCGTCACACATAATCTTAACCTACGTAAGTACGTGTAGACGTAGACAGCAGCTTCTCCAACGTATCGACAACCAATAATGTACATATATAATTACCGCAAACCATCCCCTTCCCCGACTTTCCTCGATAAAACCGTAAATATGGAACGAATCAATCCTTTCTTTCCCTCCTTATATGTACTTCCGGCAGAACCGTCCTCGCTATTTTATCCCCCTCGTTAAACTTTAGTCTCGAGAAGAAACGGCGGTTCTCGGTTCCTCGTTCACCTTTCAACCACCTATACAAACCCACTGGTGCGGTTAATAATCGATTATAATATTAATAATAGCAGTAATCCGCCGGGGAAACCTGAATCAATTCTCCTCCTGCCTTTCCTCCTCCTTCCGATAATAACGTATTATAGAATGTTTGAACGTTTCGCGACGGTACGTTTCCCGTCTCTTCTTCTATTAGAGTACTTGGGGAAGTAACGTGTCCTTCCGATGCTCTCACCACTCAAACGAATGGTGTTCTTTACGTGGAAAGCGTGAAAAGCCGGCCGGCCTGCCTTGCCGTCTTTTCAAAATTCGGCCGCCGCCACTTGTAAGCGAGACACCATTTATAATTCACCACTATCTACCGTGGAACTTTGAAAAGCTTGAAAATTAGGTCGAGCTCGTCTCTTCTTTTCTTTTTTCCTACATGTTCGAAAAGGTAAAAGGTTTACGCGACCGACCGACTATCTGCCTAATCGCGCTAACGTTTAATATAACCGTGGTGCAAAAGTTAGTCGAAGGCAAGGATGGAAGATCGCACGAAAAGAGAATATCCAAATGTTATTCATAGAGATGACCCGGCTCGTTTCGACCCCATTGCCGACAGCGAGTAGTAACCTTGACCGATGCTCGATATACATATGTATCTACATACACCTAATACTACATAAGTAAGACGTTGCAACCACAGACGGATATCGCTATCGAGCGATAGATTTTACCCGATCGGAAACCTGCGAAACCCTCCGACCAACCAAATTCCAATTATACTATCGGCCGGTCTCAACGAGCAATTAACACGACGCGACGTTGCCCTCCTCTTTTCTAGGGAACGCGTTCCTTAAGTTCCGGTAAGAGAGAAGAGATTAGAACGAAAAGGGAAACATACTCACCGAAAGGAACGAGGAAGCTGGCAGGCTAAGTAGCCCTAAAAAACAGCCCTTCACCGCATACGTGTCTTCACACGTCCTTCTTCCAACTCTTTCTACTCAACTACCTTTTGCGCGTGTAGTCGATGTTCGCGAGAAACACGGCTAGCAAAAGGAAGGCAAAACGCATATAGCTATTCTTTATGGAACGAAGGAAGAAATCGAAAGAGGAGGCGGAAGGAAGGAAGGAAGGGACGTTGAAGATAAGCGAGATAGGGGAGAAACAGCAACCGCGTGGCAGGCAGCGTCGCGACGCACTGCTGGTTCGCGGCTGGCAACCCCCACCGCCGCGACCCCGTGTACGCGCCCTCGCTCGTTCGCCCCACCTCGCGAATCCTTAACACCCCCGCGGGATACCACTTTCTTCGCTTCCAACCGATTTAACTTGTTCCGACCGAAGAAGAAAGCCTTCAGTCTCTCGCCGCCGCGCCGATACCGCGCCGATGCCCCGAGATACCGCTCGTCGCCTCCTCTTAGTTCTTTCGCTTCGCTCATCGCCCAATTATCGGACGTTTCAATCGCGTAACATTGCTACTATTTACGGAACAAGAGGGAGCATTTCCGAGTCCCGTCGTTAAAAGGACGTCCATTACAAATCTTAGTCGAGTGTCTCAGGTGATCCGAGTCCTCTTACGAGGCGAGACAAGGCGGTAGATACTTATACTTATAAAGAAAACGATCGCATGATCGATTCGTAGATACAAAGTTGTTATCGCAGACTCGATTTTCCGATATCTACCAAACTACCACACGATACACGTGTCACGCGGGCTCCACTTCGGTACGGTATCGTTTCATCTAAAATACCATTCCAATCAAATATCAATCCTAGTTCCTTTACATTGTAAGTGTGTAAGTATGTAAGTACGTATGTAGGTATATTATTAACGAAACGACAATGCCACGTCCTAGATAATGCATACACGTCGAACCTTCGTAATACTTTGATCCTGCCAGTCAGGTGTTCGTTTATTACGATAGATTATATTGCAGTAGTGTGGCAGTTGTACGTAAACTGCATCCGACCTGTTAAACTGCGACGATGAAAAATCCCCGTTGCGATTGCGTCACGGACATATGTGTCACGCAATACGTATTACGTATAAAGTACGGAAAAACCGAACGAGTTTTCATCGCGGTTTTCCTTAACCCTTTCGGTGTTGCTACATTGCAACCTGTCTTTACGATATAGCACGATATGTACGATATATGTAGCACGCGTGGAAAAGTTTAAAGACTAGATGGTGAGTGATAATCGATAAGATGATAAGGTAGTAACCGAAAAGTGATCTCCTGTCCTGTAAACGCGTGAAATTCATCAACAAACGTGTTACACGTCCACAGCGCTCGTAGCGGCCAATTCGTCAAACGTGTATACACGGTCGTATTGGAATTGCTTATTTATCGAATTTCACATCGAGTAAAGTGGACGCTCAACGCTCTGGCTTACGAGATTGTACTTATTTTTACGCTGCTCATCCACCGATTATACGATACAGCTCTATGTCGCATTTGATAACAACTAACGTGTCTCCTACATATAATCGCGGCGGAACGCAGCTACCTCACTCGAATCGTAGACACCGTACAACGCGTGTCGCGTAACGTTTCAATTCGTGAAAAGTAAAGCCGAACGAGATTCGGTAAGAATTTATACTTTGGTCAGGTTATAGCCATTAACAGATGATTACCATGCGTGGAAAATGGATTTCTCTTTTCGGCTTCCTATTCACTCTGATACATCTTTCGTGTCAGGTAAGCGCACCTACTTACTCCTATATCCTACTCTAAAGCAACGTATACATCTGTATATAATACATACTGTATCAACCACAGGAAGCCGACGCAGACGCGTTATCGAGTTATTACACCGCAGCAGTGGTCGAATTTTCACCGTATTATAACGTTGTCAACGGTTCGTACACCTTGGAGAAGAATACCGACGCGTACATCGAGTACATAGAGAAGGCGAGCGAGCAGGTGAGATTGGTTGTTTTCCAAGCCGTAACGTAACAGTGATTCGAAACAAATCGATCAACAGAATGCCGACATTATCGTCTTTCCGGAATATGGATTAACATCGATGAACATGCCTAGCAGATCACGGATGGATCCCTGGACAACGGTGGTTCCTTCCGTCCTCGATGAATACGTTCCCTGCACAGGAAACGATGTGAACGTCAGCCCAGTAAGTACACCATATCGCACTTCTCCTTCTTCTTCTTCTTCTTCTTCTTCTTCTTCTTCTTCTTCTTCTTCTTCTTCTTCTTCTTCTTCTTCTTCCGATTGATCCGTAGACGCTGCAAAGGTTGTCGTGTGCCGCCAGAAAAAATCGCATCTACGTGGTAGTAAACCTCGCCGAGAAAGAATACTACACCCAGCAACAGGGCTGTTCCTCAAACGCGACACGTTACTACAATACCAACGTGGTGTTCGATCGAACGGGAAAAATAATTGCCAGGTATTATGAGAATATGCCAGTTGTAATACTTTGTCCGTAATACCTTGGTAAATTCAGGTATCGTAAGGTGAATCTCTACATGGAGAAACGATACGATCCAGTCGAAACACCGGATGTCGTCACTTTCGACACCGATTTCGGAGTGACGTTCGGCACCTTTATCTGCTTCGATATATTATTTCCGGTACCGGCCCTGAACTTGACCAGAATGCAAGGAATTACGGACATTGCCTATTCCACTGCCTGGTTCTCCGAAACGCCGTTTTTGACCGGCAAGTATAATATAATATCTAATCGCTGTATTCGTAAAATAAGAGAAAAAGTAAACAGGTACGATGTAACATTTTCCACGACGTTTCAGTATTTCCTATTCTATGTATGTATATCAGTCCCGCATACAACGGGGAGAGGACGTAACTTCTCTTTCTCTTTCAGCCGTTCAAACACAATCCGGATGGTCTTTTGCCGAAGACGTGAATTTCCTGGGCTCTGGGTATCACAGGCTGCAGGGCGGCAGCGGAGGGAGCGGCATTTATTTGGGTATTTGTCTTCACACGCCTTCCGCGTTACATCATTTACACTCACCACCCCTTTTTCGCACTGCTTAGGTCGTGACGGAATAGTCAACGCGACCTTTTCCCGCAACTCCGGACTCTTGATCTCTCGTGTCCCAAAGAAGAGCGACTCGAGAGAAATCCAAAGAGAAACACCCAAGGAGGGTGTTTACGTAATTACTAGTAAGGAAGAAAGCAAGGAAAAAGGAACGGCCGATTGGATACAGTTGCTACACGATAACTACACCTCCTTCGAATCCGTTCGGCTCGGCGACAACGTTTCCTTCACCGACACTCTTTGCCACCGGAAATTCTGTTGCGATTTCCACCTTCGTACAAACACCATCGTCGATACTTCTTCCTCCTCCGTCAATTATCGCGCCGTTGTTTTCAACGGAGTGCGATACTACGGTACCGAAGCAGAAGCCGGCGTTCGCCTCTGTGCCGTGATACTATGTTCCAACGACTCGATCTACTCTTGCGGTCTTGTCGACCAGTCTAACGTTACTTTTACCAATTTAACCATCGCGACAACCTTCCACGATTACCCCCAGATTCTGGCCATGCCCACCGTCCTCAGCCCCACCTTGATTCCATTCCAGCATTGGACTTACGCTGAACGTGCAAAGGGAGCGCGGACCCACCTCACCCTCGCTTTGTCAAAATCGACCAACGACCTCGTTACTTTCGGTATATACGTCAGAGACTTTACCAAAGACAAATGGCATACCCAACCCGCTTCCTCTTCCTTTACCATGCCCCTCCCTGTCTCCTCCTTCTCCTCCTCCTCCTCCTCCTCCTCCTCCTCCTCCTCCTCCTCCTCCTCCTCCTCCCCTCCTCTGCTAACCGCCTTTCCTTTCTTCCCTCGATTATATAAAAAATAAAATACCACTACTATTTCTTTCTGTCTTGCGTCTTTACGTCTTTACGTCGTTACGTCGTTACGTTTTTCTTGCGAACAAACAAAAAAAGATCGTTTCTTTCGTCTTCGTGATCGCACTCGATTCTTTCGAAAAAGTAACCGCGAATCGTAGTCAAAGAGAAATGTCGCGCCTCTTCTTCGCCGCTATGCGATCCTTCGAAAATTGCTTCGGCCTGTCGATGTTCTCTTTAAAAACTCGGTACGCGCACACCGATTTACCGGAAATCGACTTTCAAGAACATCGACGGAAATCGCTAGAGGACCCAAACGTGTCTGCCATGCGAACCGTCGATCAACGAAGAGTAACAACTTACGCGATGAGTTTCGGTACGTTTCCTCCCCCCCCCCCCCCCCCCCCCTC